TGTGAGTGTGTGTGAGTGTCAGCGGTGGGGGGACATATAAAACTTCACTGTATTTTTTGTGTAAAAGTACACGTGAGAATAAATTTCTATTCTATTCTATTCTATTCTATTCTATCACATTCTATTCTATTCTATTCTATCCTCTCTTCTCTCAGAGAGGAACAGATCTGTCTGGGGCTTGGTTAGTTCAGTTGGCGGGATGGCTGGTTTATTAATTCAGAGTGATGCCAACAGTATGGGTTCAATCCCGACCCCACAGTTAGAGGAAGGACTTTCCTGCTCTCTCTGTGCCTGAGGTGTGGTAACCACCAGCTCCAACTGTCCCTGTCTGATGAGGGAGCAGCTGTGTGGTTTGGTTAAACTATGGCAACGTTACCCTTTGTGGAATTCTTTACCACGGAAGGCTGTAGAGGCCGGGTTGTGAAGTGTAGCAAACATTTTATTAACAAACACCTATGGGACCAGGAGTCAGCCTGTTAATCAAATATTCCAGATAATCAAGAGGCCCACAGAACCGCACTTAAACCTTGACCAAGCGAAGGTTCAAGACATCAACACCCCTCAATAAATCTATGTAAAGACATCAATGGACCTCCTAACATCAATGTAAGTATTTGAAATGCAATGCATTTGTTTATACATTACTGTTATACTTTTTTTTACAGGAGAGGCAATGGCCTAGTGGTATTATTGCTGGACTGTTAATCCAGAGACCCAGATAATTTCCCAGGGACCTAGGTTCAAATCCCACCACAGCAGAGGGTGGAATTTGCATTCAATAAATATCGGAATTATGGATCTAATGACGACTGTGAATCCATTTGTTGATTGTTGGAGGAAAAGCCCATCTGGTTCACTAATGTCCTTTAGGGAAGGAAGCTGCCATCCTTACCTGGTCTGGCCTATATGTGACTCCAGACTGACAGCAATGGATTCCTCCTCTTTCACGCACCATTTGTCCAGGCTTAAAAGTAAAGCAAAAGACCAAAAGTGAAAAGAAAGGGACAAAAAATGCTGATGGGAACAGACAAGGCCTGAGCTCAACCTCCCTTACTTTGCTGTCAAATTCCTTCTTATCTCTCTCTTAAATAGGCAACCCCTTATTTTGAGATTATCCCCTCCAGTCCTCATCTCTCTCACAATGGGAAACAAACTCTTGGCATCTACTCTGTCTAAAGTCCCCTAAGAGTCTTGTTCATTTTCATTTTCTTTTACTTAACATGTTCAGAGTCAGTGGAATAAACAGTGCGTACGGTTTCACTCATTTGTCTGTTTTACATTTGGAAGAACTTTGTGGATGATGTTTTTAACTACAGCCAAGAAACCAGTCACTCTGGTCTCTCTGATTCTGTCAAAATTCTCCTGGTTGCTAAGGACAACCATTCAGCTCCACCTGCAAAGATAGAAATCTTCGCCTCCAGAGGCTAAAGATTTTGCATATTCTTGTTCCAACCAGCTCTCCGCTCTCTGAGAATTGGTTTATATCAGGTAAGTGCGTTGAGCAATACAGAGAATGAGACAAATTCTGAATCAGAAGTGGATGAATTCCTGGAGAAGGGGATTTTCCTTTCAGAAAAGATTGAGTAGGCCTACAATCCATCGCATTGGGATAACGGACAATTGATTGCATTGAAAGACCTAAGATTCTTATGATTTTGACAGTACAGGTACATGGACCATAAAAAAGGCCTATGGCATGCTTGCCTTCATTGGGAGGGGCATTGAGTATAAAGATAGGCAAGTTATGCTGCAGCATTATAGAACTTTGGTTAGGCCACACTTGGAAAATTGCGTACAGTTCTGGTCACCACACTACCAGAAGGATGTGGATGCTTTGGAGAGGGTACAGAAAAGGTTTACCAGGATGTTGCCTGGTGCTGGGGATTATAGCTATGAAGAATGGTTGGAAAGACTGGGTTTGTTTCCACTGGAATGTAGGAGGTTAAGGGACAACCTGAAAGAAGTTTATAAGATTGTGAAAGGATAGAGTGGAAAGTATGAGGCTTTTTCCCAGGGTAGAGGGGTCAATTACTAGGGTACACAGGTTCAAGGTGTGAGGGGAAAATTTAAAAGAGATGTGTGAGGCACGTTGTTCATACAAAGAATGGTGAGTGCCTGGAACGCGCTGCCAGAGGAGGTGGTGAGAATAGCAGCGTTCAAGAAGCACTTGGGCGAGTACATGTATAGGAAGGGAATAGAGGGATACACAACCTGCAAGTAAAGACAGTTTTAGTATGGAAGGGCAAAATGTGTCAGCGCAGGCTTGGAGGTCCGAAGGGCCTATTCCTTTGCTGTGTTGTTCTTTGTTCTTTGTTCTCCTTTGCCTGAGGAATCTAGAACATAAGGCACAAGTGGAAAATAAGGTTCTCCATATGGTCTGGACGCTGTTATATTATTGCCTTCTTCATCGCTTGCCAAAACTGCGTGTGAGCTTTTAGTGACTAATGAGTGAGGACATTCTTGGGACACCAACACTTCCCCATTACTCACCATTTAAGAAACAAAACTCCACATTTCTGTTTATTTTTCCCACCAAAAGTGGACGACTTCACACTTTTTCCACATTATTTTGGATCAGCCATGTCCTTGCCCATTCCCTTAACCTTTCTAAATCCCCTTGAAAGCTGTTTTGTACCACCTCACCATTGACATTCCCATTTACTTTTGTGTTGTCAACTACCCAATAACCTTACGCTGATTCTTGTAAAGACCAGTGACCTTGTGACCCCACTGGTGCCTGAGAATGACCCGTTTACTCCTACTCTCTGTTTTTCTCACCATTAACCAATTTCTAAATCCATGTCAGTTGTGAGGTAATGTGTGATTAATGGGGAGAATCTTAGAGGAGGCTAGGGTGAGATTTGGGGCAGAATCAGACAAGAATTTCATTGGGCCTATTTTCAAAGTAAACTTCATCTTTTGCTCAGTGGCATGGTAAGATTTGCGCTGGCCAACTCCAGGGGATTATTGTTCGTTTAACGCTTGGTTAATGACCCAATTCACCTCATTAATATTTAGCCTCCCAATTTACCAAATGAGAAAACACAACATGGACACCAGAACGGGTACATAACAAAGTCAGCGGACTCCAGAGGACCTGGATAATGGGCAGTAGGCACTAACATGACAGGGCATTCTCCACTGGGCACACATACCTCATGGACAGTTATGCCAGCCTGTGAGAACTCTCATGGTTCATCTGCAAACCACTTGGAGTGTTTCTGCCCTTCGATGCAGTATCCCAGGTGGTTCCAGTAACACTCACTGTAACACTGTATCCCAGGTTGTCCCGGTAACTCTCACTGGAACACTGTTTCCCAGGTTGTCCTGGTAACTCTCACTGTAACACTGTATCCCAGGTTGTCCCGGTAACTCTCACTGTAACACTGTATCCTGGTCTGTCCCAGTAACTCTCACTGTAACACTGCATCCCGGGCTGTACCAGTAACTCTCACTGTAACACTGCATCCCGGGCTGTACCAGTAACTCTGACTGTAACACTGTATCCTGATAACTCTCACTGTAACACTGTATCCCAGGTTGTCCCGGTAACTCTCACTGTAACACTATATCCCGGTCTGTCCCGGTAACTCTCACTGTAACACTGTATCCCGGTCTGTCCCGGTAAGTCTCACTGTAACACTGTATCCCGGTCTGTCCCGGTAACTCTCACTGTAACACTGTATCCCAGTAACTCTCACTGTAACGCTGTATGCCAGTCTGTCCCGGTAACTCTCACTGTAATACTGTAGCCCAGTCTGTCCCGGTAACTCTCACTGTAACACTGTATCCCGGTCTGTCCCGGTAACTCTCACTGTAACACTGTATCCCGGGGATGTCCTGGTAACTCTCACTGTAACACTATCCCGGTCTGACCCAGTAACTCTCACTGTAACACTGTAACCCGGTCTGTCCCGGTAACTCTCAATATAACACTGTATCCCGGTCTGTCCCAGTAACTCTCTCTGTAACACTGTATCCCGGGCTATCCCGGTAACTCTCACTGTAACAC